ATCAGCGGCGTTTCCCTTTCCAAGGCCTCAAATATGAGGCCTTTGATCCCAAAAGGCCTCAAGTAATGTGAGCCACAATCAAAACCTGGGTAGATGGTTCGGTTAGTAAGGGGCAGTAGCCAGAAATAGCTGCGGATATCCGCCTTCTGAATTCTTTACATGGTTCTGGGTAGACCATTTTGAAAACGGGTTTTGAATATGACTTGGGATCCTAGGAGCATTTGACGCGTCCCATCTGAATGCGCGAGAGCGCTCTCGCGCGAGCCCAGGTATTGGTTCTACGGCTACTGCAGTCAGTTGGCCGGAATCTGAGGTCCATCAACCAAGTTGGTCCTCCTAACCTGGACCCTCAAACCACCCCTATTGCCCTAAACTTGTGAATTGAGTTGCCTTTTTTTAAGAGAATGTTGAGGGTCCATGAAGATGATCATGCTTTCTAGTACCCCAACATACCCCAACGGCTCGTTTTTGTGTTTCTCTGTTTGTTTGTTTGTTTCGCGAGAACTCACGGACCAAAGGGTAAACAAAGGGCTCGGTCATCAAAGTCGGGTCGCTGGTCGGCTTGCGAGATGTCCGGGCAATCGACCCACAGACTCAGCTTGCCTTTTATCACTTGCCGAATGTCGACCTTTAAGATCCCCCCCCTCCCAGTTTTTTAGTCAGGGGGGGTTCTCTCTGGAAAGGAATTCCTTCTAAAAGGTAGGGGTCAACGGTTGCGTGCAGTTGTTCACGGAGGTGAGCAAATTCTGTACCTTTGCTGCCCATGACATCCGGGTATCTTGGACCCTGACTCATCAGGTTCTAACAAACAGGTTCCGATGGCTTCACAATCATCGCACCCGAAAGGAACCATGTGGCCATGGGTCAAAAGCCCGTACCCCCAGTGACATCCCCATCCCCACTAAAATAGACTAAAATGGCAAGTGCACCTATCCCAAAATGGGATCCCATTGGTTTGACCCCCCAACCCGCGGCCCGCGGAGCTGAGGTGTTGACCGTCTCGGTGCTGGTGATCTTTTTCGGGCTGGGCGTTGTCCTCCTGATCCAGAGCGGCTCGATGCACGAGGCGGGGCTGGGCTTAAGACACCCTCCAACATGTAGGTACCCCACAGTGGGCGGGGGCGGTGGGGTGGGGTGGCGTTTTTTTTTGCTTCCCCGAACTAAGTTGAACAGGGCACCCTCAGCAAAGGGGTGTGTGTGTGTGTGCGTGTGTGTTTTTGTTTGTTTCCCCCAACTAAGTTGAAGAGGGCACCCTCAAAGGCACATACCCGGAATCTGACACTAGAGTCCTTCCCTAAAGCAGAGTCTACAACTCATGAGTATGTCTTAAGGCGGGGTTTAAGGGGAACTAACTGGAAAGCCACTATTTTGGGGTCCCCTAAAACATACACTCCCATACTAGCGTTTTTTTTTCCCATGTCACGCCGTACTGGGAATGCTTCAACCCCTACTCAAACAACCTCCCTGTGGTTTGCCTAACCCTGGCAAGAGGCCATCGGTTCAAGCGCTGCGCATGGATTACGACAACCATGGACTATGTGGAACTCTTTTAGACTGATTATGAAGCAGGTGTCTCGCCCATGAAAAATAATCAAATATCATGTTGAGATCGTACTCCAGGCCTGATTCCTAGAAGTACGGCCGCTATGGAGTGCATATTATCTTTGGTGCATTTTGCTTGGATGTTGGGACTTTAACTTTTTCCCAACTAATGGGTTTTGATTAAACCACAAAAAGTTAAACTTTCAGCAGGGGAGGGTCGTTTTGAGGATGTCATTCGGGAGGGTCGTTTTGAGGATGTCATTCGGGACTCAGTTTGGTACCTCTTTCAGTATGTTGGTATAGCTTTTGGAATGGGGTTTAGGTTGCTGAAATCGAGTCGCCAGCGGCCGCTTTTGAGTGGCAAAGTAGCAATGGTTTACAAGAAACAATAGTAATTTTACGCAGCCATGTACCGTCTCCGTATATACTAGCGAGAAGCTAAAAGAGCAAACTCCGGCCACTCATTGATTTGCCGAGGAGGGAAGTGGGACATTGATGCTAAGATGCTTCATCACCTCGAACAAGGGGACAACCTGGTCAGTGGTTTGGGGAACACATGGGGAACATCTCAATTGATGCGTGGGTGGAGGAATGGACCCCAGTTCTCCATTTGAGCCATAATCAAAACCCGGGTAGATGAAGGATAGTAAGCAAAAGTCCCAGCCAGAATTAGTTGCGGCGGCCTTCATAATTCTTTATATGGTTCTGAGTAGACCATTTTAGTACCGGGTTTTGATTATGACTCATTCGTGGTACTTGGGATACTTCACTGCGCCAGGTCATCATCCCATACACCTCAGATCTCGCTGAGCAGGACAGATACGCGGTCCAGAAGATTGCCGGGCAACTCGAGACTGGGCATGCCGTTATAGTAGATTGCGGGCTGCTTGTTTCAATTAGGTGGCAGCGCCGCCTGGCCCTTGTTTCAACTTTAGCTTGCAACTGGTGATGTCCCTTCTTAGTTGCCTAACAAAACATTAAGGTCACCTCAGAGACTCTGGAATGATGATTTCCCCAGAAATACCAAAGACAATGGTTTCAATCATGGTTTCAGTGGTGCGAAGTGGATTTTTGTCCATCCACAGTATATCGGTCTGAACAACTGCAATGATTGTATACTCTCCCATGATCATAAGGTCATTTGGCTCAATAGTGCGAGCTCGTGGCCAACAGGGGTGCCTGTTGATGTGACAGAGATGGTTCTGCAACCTTTTTTGGGCCGTTTTGAAGGGAAACAACGCCGAAGACGCTCCCCACATTGGGAAATCGACAACGGTGTGCCAGAAAGGAGGAATCTGCTCACCGATCGGGGGTAAAACGAGCTCGCCCACGAAGGTCCCCCTTATTTTAACCTGTATGAGACATGCCCAGTTTCACATTTTCTGCTGGGTGTCGCGTCAGGAGTTTTCCATTGACCGCAGCCTCGAGGGAGATGCAGGGCACACAGCTGACTTGTGCGACGGGTCCTTTCAAGTGACCCTCTAAATAATGGCCTAAAGGAAACTGCTCGCAAAAGGAATCTTGAAAACCCTTCAAAGTGTTCAAGTTGGGGAACCCAGTATCATGCGTTTGGGCAAAGTCAGGAAAGTCTCTATCTCTGAAGGTCGCTTAATTGTTGGGCGGAGTAGAATTTGCCCTGGAGTATGAAAAACAATGTTTTACCTGTGGAGACTCAAGACAAGGATTTGAAGGATCGGGAACGCCAGAATGGGAATCAGTCAACCAGTGTGGCAACAGGATGGTTGCAGTTTGGGTGTTTGGAGTAAAACCAACCGACCACAGGCAACAGCCTTCTCCTCCCCCTCTTTGAAGGCCTAAGGCATTGGACGTTTTGCAGGTTGACTGCAAAGTTGTGTGGCTGACCCTCGCCAACGGCGTTTTCAAAGGAGAGAACTTAATAATCTGATATGTTCGACCGAGGGGAAGGTGAGCCCTCGCAGATTGTTCTTCGCTACAAATTCGTGCGCCCCATCCGGGCCCCGTTCCGCGGGCCTTTTGAGGCACCGGTTTCTTGTGGTCGGCGGTGTTTCAAAGCCGCCGCTTGCAACTTAGAGCGGGGGTCGAGACAGTGCACCCCAATTGTGGGCTGACAGAACACCATCGCGAGTGAACGGACTCGTTTTAGCATCTTTCGGTAGTCTTGTTGCAGGCGGGAGCGTTTTTTACCACTTCATTATACAAGCGGTATGCCTTGAATGATTGTGGTGGTTTATATGCCTCCGTGCCTCCAAACCCCATACTTTCACATGCGCTTGAATACTGATCCCATTCTATGTGTTCATCGTGACCAACTGTTTTGCTGTGAGCGCATCACCTACGAACTTAGTTGATTGCTTTTATGTTGCAATCCCGAGTCCAGTTGAGGGAAACTGGCAGGAAGCCACCTAAGCATCGCAGGCTTTGACTCCCAACATAGGTGGACAAGAGAGGTGCGTATGGTGGAGCAGTCCTTTGCATCAAGGGCTGCGCGATGCTATTGTTAACTTTGAGGCCCCGCCATGGGACCCTGGACGGCAAATCTACCCTGCGTTCCGTTCAAAGGAAGACCCCTTTGGCGGATGTGGGTGTTTCAAAGCAAGGGTACCCTGATGGAGTGACGTCATGCCAAGAGAAGGGGTTCCAAAGGACACAATGTGTATATCGGTGGCACCGTCCCAACCTGGAGCAGTTTGGAAGATCTATGGTCGCGTTGCTAGGACACTGTGTGACAGTTGGCCGAAAAGTGCCCGAGGTGCTGGTGTACTACGAAATGCACCTTTGGGCAAATCACAAAAGGCGTGCCCGGCATGTGGAGCGAGTGATTGAGTGAACATGTGGTGACACGAGTGGTCCGGATCTTCATGGTTTCAGGTATGCGCCCCAGATAAACAGGGAACCAAAAACACCAGTTGTACACAATAATGCCTTTGGGGGACCCCTCCCCCCAGCTTTGGGGTTCCACGTGATTTTGTAGAGTCTGCTCCCCATCTTGACTCCGATTCCGTCGCCAGTTTCGTTCAGAGCAGAGATAAAAGAACTGCCGGGCGCCCAGTGACTGACGGGGAGCTGCCGGGTGACCTGGGGTTGAATCCACCACCGAGTGCGTGCCGCCTGGACCCTCAGATTTGCAACTTAAAAATGGGTTGCCCCAACATGATGGTTGGCTTGGCTCCCTTTTTCATGGCTAGTTCTTTTGGGTCGAGTCCAGGCAGCTTTTTTCCTCTCCCGCTGGCGAATGAGCCAAGCTTTGGGAGTCCAGGATGGTTCAAGTCGTAAGGAACCGATCAAAGTGGTTTGCGAGGCTGTTTCTTCCGGGACCCGGAAGCAATTCCCTAAGGGAACTCGCCAAGCATCTTTTGGGGAGATCACCGGTTGAGGATGGTGTGGTCCAGGTTCTTTGTATGTGTTTCAACGTTCCTTCGTTTTCTGTTTGCTTGTTTACTTGCTCGTTTGTTCGTTTTCATTGTTTCGGGTTTGTTTGATTTGGATGCGGGGACGACTCCCAACGCCCGGTGGCACCAAACGTTGCTGTGAAGCCGTTGGTGTTTCAGTTGACGCGGAACCAACAACAGGAAAGTAAGCATGGTCATGGCTGTGTTTTAGTGGCACCTTCAGAAACTGGCAGGGTAGGTTTCGCTTGAAATCAAGCACATGGATGTCTTTATGCCGTGTGAGTATGTTTTCAACATTCGAAACACGCCTCTCCAGAATTGATATCAAGCAATCAACCACTCCTCACCGCCCCCACCCTCCAGGGTGCACGCAAAAGCGCGTTCGTGGCCCAACCAGCGCCGAGCAATCACTCCGGCTAACGTTGTTTTGCACTTGAGGCGTACAACTTTTTGTCCACCGCTGATTGCTCTCAAGCAGACACCCTCGACTGGGCGAGGCCTGGATGTCGTTTTGGTGCAAGTTCGGATGTGTTTCCACGGGGGCCAAACCTGGTTGATGTGAATCCCAACCCCTTATTGCAGAGTGCGGATTTGAGACTTGGCACGCACGGATGGACGGAGAGAACGTCTGCATCATTAATCCGCAAGTGCGTTGCAACTAGCAACGTGTGTGTGTGTGTGTGTGTCTGTGTGTCTGTGTGTCTGTGTGTCTGTGTGTCTGTGTGTCTGTGTGTCTGTGTGTCTGTGTGTCTCTGTGTGTCTCTGTGTGTCTCTGTGTGTCTCTGTGTGTCTCTGTGTGTCTCTCTGTGTGTCTCTGTGTGTCTCTGTGTGTCTCTGTGTGTCTCTGTGTGTCTCTGTGTGTCTCTGTGTGTCTCTGTGTGTCTCTGTGTGTCTCTGTGTGTCTGTGTGTGTCTGTGTGTGTCTGTGTGTGTCTGTGTGTGTCTGTGTGTGTCTGTGTGTGTCTGTGTGTGTCTGTGTGTGTCTGTGTGTGTGTGTCTGTGTGTGTCTGTGTGTGTCTGTGTGTGTCTGTGTGTGTGTCTGTGTGTGTCTGTGTGTGTCTGTGTGTGTCTGTGTGTGTCTGTGTGTGTCTGTGTGTGTCTGTGTGTGTCTGTGTGTGTCTGTGTGTGTCTGTGTGTGTGTGTCTGTGCGTGTGTGTCTGTGTGTGTCTGTGTTTCCGGCCACATAATCGCTCGGTGCGAATTCGACTCTCAGAACCCTTCTAAGCCAGGATCCAAGAAGCTATCTCTTATTGGTAAATAACACGATATTGCACAGGATTGCGGCGGGTTAGTCTCCACATGTGGGTGTGGCTCAAAATTCAAGAGCCGTGGTTACGCAGGTTTTAGATGTTGGTTCCATTTACCAAGGTGCCAGTTTGGTACGTGTTCTTGAGCCACAGCCATGTTGCCAAAAAATGTGTGTGGGTCGAATGGGAACGAGTTGCAGATGCCGCCGAGCTCGAGACGTCGGCCATTTCAGTTCTGGAAAGCCGCCGGCATTGGCGCCCTATGGTTGCTTGATGCATAGGCGTTCAGTATTTTCTGGTGGATGACACCTGGGGAGATCATAAGGACATGCTATGGTTCCAACCTTTGTAAGTTAACGCTTGTTTGTATTTTTCAAAGTTGTTGGAAAGGGGAATAGTAGCCGACTACTATGTTGCCGGCATCTTGCCTGAGGGGGGTGTATCACATCAGCATCTTACCCCAGATGAATTAGCAGTCGCATGCTTACTCAGAACACGGTGCATGCGGGGATCTGGCCAAGTTTTCATGCCCTTGCCGTGCAGGGGGGATCTGTCCCTACTCGGCTCCTTTTGCGAGTCCCACCCTCGGTGCTTGCCTAGGGTGTGTATCTTTTAAGAGGCCCCTCTAAAATTTTGGTTTCCCTGTTGGTTTCCTTCAATTCCAACCAAAAAGGGGTACCCTCCCCCACTCGTGGTTTCAACATGCAAGACTCTGCGCAAACCCACTGCCAGCTTCCGACGCGGACAAGATGCCGCGTTCATGGCAAAGATCGGAGGCGCCGTGTTCATGTCCAGTGCTACCTGTTGCTATAGGAGGCAACCAGTTTTTTTTTTGCACCAACAACAAGAAATCCCCATTGGCCATTTGCTTAGGTGCTTCTACTACCTGATTTCATTAGGCTTGTAGCAAAGCCTAAACCATTTGCCATTATATGCCATGGTGGCACAACCAAAAGTGAATATATAGTGCTTGTTCGCTGCCCGCTCGTTTTCTACATGCTTCCCCAGAATTAGCTCCCCTTTTTGCTTTTTTGCTTTTTTGGGGTTCCCTTTGTTTTCCACTAACCAGGCAAGCATTTTTTTTTTTGCCGGGGTCCTAATTCCAGCCAAGCATGATGTTTTGCCCTTGTACCTAACTTGCCCAACAGCCGAAAGCTTTGGGGTCTTTGCTCAAGCTCCGCGTGGTTTGGCCAGCTCTGGGCTAGGGTTGTGGAAGGGTTTCGAGGGTTTCTGGCGGGTCTACCACAAGTTTTTGCTAGTTTTGATTTAAGAACAGCACAACAACGTGATGCTTTGCCCTAGATACCTACTATACTGGTTGCGCTTTAGTTTGACGTTGACCCTTCGAACGGCTGTCTCAGCGACATATTGCGCTGGTTTACTTGTGTACCCAGTCACATGGCTTGCCTGATTCTGCACCAATCTTCTTCAATCGCAGTAATCATAGGCTAAGTTGCGGTGAACTTCACAAAACAACAACTAAGTTTTCGTCGTGGTTTCCCGTCAAGGCGACCACCAAAAGGTACGCTCAAAAACACCCATGGTGGGGAAAAGGGCTTGATCCGGGCTTTTCCCAGAAGACGACCCATAGAAGAGCTTTCTCTGTGTTCCTTGGTTTTCTTCCTCCAAAAACACATTTATTTCCTTTCAAGGGTTTTGGAGCAACATTAGTTGGCTGCATTTGGAGATTTGATTGGTTTGACTTTCGGCACTCACACAGCCCATAGAATCCTTCCTTGGGTATCGTTCCAACTTCGAGGGAGCAATCAATACCGTTGCCGACAAATTGTTTTGGCTGTCATGGCACCCACAATGGGGGGTTGCCCCAAAAGGAGATCACTCAGGGTTCCATGTGAATCTGCAGAAGTCTAAGCCCCGATGGCAACTACTATGTTTAGCCCCGGGTGCAATTTGTTCATGTGTCAATCAATTCCCCCCCCCCCCGCCCCGTGTAACCCTCAGAGAAAAAACAAAAAAAAGTATAGACCTACCAGCACCCCCCCCCCCCCCGCACCCCCGCCCCCAACCTTTTCTGCTTTTTCCCACGTCCAAACCCCCGTCCAAACCGAAAACCGCCGTGGTTGGGGACTACCGCGCCACATCGCGCCAAAAGCCACATTTCTAGCTATGGTGGTTGGGTGGGGGGGCTTGCTTAAAGGCTTAACTTGACCAGCACACCTGTTCTTAACCCAACATATCCCAAGCAAACTACATGTGCACAAGCTAGGGCAACTCACCCCCCGCCTCCCGCCTCCCGCCTCCCGCCTCCCGCCTCCCGCCTCCCGCCTCCCGCCTCCCGCCTCCCGCCTCCCGCCTCCCGCCTCCCGCCTCCCGCCTCCCGCCTCCCGCCTCCCGCCTCCCGCCTCCCGCCTCCCGCTCAGCCACCTCCCCGGCCGCCAGCTCTCGCGTGCTCGCGTGCTCGCGTGCTCTCGGCTCTCGGCTCGCCAGCTGCTGGCCCTGAGCTGCTGCCTTGCGGTTTGGTGTCCATCTCCATGCCCAGGCCTCAGCTTTCCAACCCCCCCCCCCCCAATTTGGTGGTTTTGAACATGTGTAACCATGGGAGTTCCAATTTTCGGGCGCCCCTGAGTTCCAGGCGAAACAATGACCGGGTTTTGGGAAGCTTCAAAGGAAAACCATCCATGTTGGATTTGTCATTTTGAGGCAAATCCAAATTATCCTAGGTCTCCCAGCTAGGTGCCCTTTCTCACTCATTTTTGTCCCTTACTAAAATAGACTAGACAACACAAGGGTACCCTTATTCTAACCTCTCTCAGGAGGACCTAGAATAGGGTCCCTTCCCCCCCTTCTTGGTGCTTTCAACCATGGGAGTTGATGAATATTCCCTTCGGCCCGCAAATGCGCATGGGTAACTGTTCTATTTGGTGGGACAGATCATCTTTCTGGTGGTTGTCACCAGTAAAGGACCTTTTGATCAACCCGAGCAAAATGTACCACTTTAGGACTATATGTCTTTCTTATGCATGCCAAAGGGCTTTTTGGGGTGGTTGAATTTTCTTTCCCGGATGGACCCTTAAAGCTCTGAAGTCATCAATTCGAGGTTCTTTTCGAGGATATCTCTCTCATGGGCCCAGAGCCCCATTTTATTTTGGGTCCCCAAAGTGATCTGCGGGACAAATAGACCATGTTTGTTTACTCGGTCCAGTGAACCAAAAAGGGGACTTTTTTTGCAAACCATGTCAGACCCCCTTCCATTTAGCCCCGGCCCAGAACTTTATGTTGGCCATTGCAGCGGGTGTTCTTTGAATGGAGTTGCATGCACTTTAGAGTCAAATTCAGTCATAAACATGAAACATGTTATACTCGTATATACAGTTTAAACAGCTTAACAGGCATTGTAGAGAAGCCTTGCAGCAAAACGGACATTGTAGTGAGCCAGAATCAAAAGGCTGGTAAGGGAACCGGTGCAGATAGTCAGACAACAGTTTATGCTTCTTCAGTGCTTTCCAAAGACCCTACGTGGTCAACAGCGGGTTTATTTGTCCATCGCGATCCTAGGGGGAAAAGGCTGTAGTCGGTTTGAACTTCAAGAAGCATCACTTTTGTTTGGCCAACGAATCTGCTGTTTTAATTCTTTGCATGTTGGGATCACTTTATTACCAGTTGATTGTGACGCACCGGAAGCTCGCGCCCGAGGTTCACCGACAACTTTACCTTCCATAAGTCCACCAACGGTGGTTGGGAGAGGCGCTTGGTCCCGTTCGGAGTTCGGTTCCATGCCATGTTGGCACCAGAGCCAGAGCTTGAGCTGTGAAAAGCATCGGGGCCTGGAAATGGGTGTGTCTTCTTTTAGGGCACCCCCAAATGGTATGGTGGTTTCCTTTTGGTTTCCCTTCAAACCACACCCAAACAGGGTGCCATCAAAAAAGAGAATCAGAGTTATGCTTTTTTGCAGGGGATCTGAGGACAGAAGAAACCTGCCAATGGTGGTTATCCTTTTTAAAGCTTTCCTTTTAAGCAAACCTGAAAGGGGCAGCCTCACTAAACACACCCTCTGGGTTTGAAGGTGGACAGCCTTACCCATTTATCCCTTTCAACACCAAGGGACAACCTCAGCAATTCACGTAGCTTCTGGCCTCTGGCGCTGTCAGAGGCTTCACCTCCCAAAGGCGGCTAACGCTGAACTCGATACAGACAGAGGGGATTTTCTCAGAAAATGTGTGATACATAAAGGTTGGACCAGGATTTGTTTTTGAAAGCGTACCCTCCCACCAATTGACATGGAACCTGACGTTTCGGCTGGTGCCGTAGGACCATCTTTCCCTTTAAAGGGACCATGTCCCGACGTCAGGTTCCATGTTAAAAAAAGAAAAAGAACAAAAAACGGTGGGAGGGTATTTCTCAGCTTCAGATAAAACGAGAGGTCTTCAAGTTTGACGAGGTCCGCTGGCGGATTGTCCAGGTTAGACGCGGACTCCTCTGACGTCGCCCTGCCATCCGACGCCGCAGCGTGCGGCGGCTCAGGGCATCACGTGACATGAGCTAGGGATGGCTTCTGTGTGTCAAAAAACGGCAATGGGTCAAAATACCGTAGTCCCAGTGAACATCCCAATCCCCACTAACATAGACTAAAATGGGTGGTGCACCTACCCCAAATGGTACCATTGGTTTTGACCCACAGCCAGTTAAACATCAACTGGGAGCCAGTTGTTTTGTTTGGAAGTGATACTGGACAAACTCATTACTTGTTTTGCAGGTTAACATGGAACCTGGAAATCCATCCTTAGTCAACATGACCTGCTTTTGGCAGGGGATGTGTGAATGAGCCCTTCAACCATTCTCCGCATGCGGCCCCCATTGTGTTTTGCACCCTTAGAGGAAGCTCGTTTTGGCGGACTCCTTAATAAGTGTGTAGGGTGGCATTTGAAGGGACCTGTCCAACGTGATTTGCCCATGTCTGGGATGAGCTGCTAGGGAGGAGTGACAAATATTGAAGTAGTTGATTCATGTCAACCACTCGACCTGGTGGATTTTCTTGTCTCCAAAAAAACGATAAGGATTTTCTAAGTGGGACCCCCCAAAAATAACCAAGAGGTCAAATAATCCAAGGCGTTCCCATGAATTCGCGGAAGGGTACCATCCGTTTTTTTCGCTTGTACTGCCTTTTGATCGATCCCCGTCTCTGTGCAGGGATGTCGCTTTGAAGAGATGCTAAGACGGCTTTTGAAGCCTCCAATTCATCCAGGCTACTGAATGAGGACTCAACATAGGTGAGGCACGATGTATGGGTAAAACCATGCTGCTGATCTGATATGAGAGATAGGCAGAATAGGCAACGCACGCGAGACCATGAGAAGCAATACAGTGAACTACCAAAAGCAATACCGGACGACACTCGAGCCGAAGCTGCGAAAGCGCACTTCGAGAAGTACATGTGCAGCGAAGGATCCGTGGTACCATCTGCTGTTACCGTGGTACGTAGTCCATGATTTTTGAAATACGGATCCGGAGTGCTGTGCAGAATTGGGGTAAGAGAGATTATTGCTTGGCTGTTGAACCGCCCCACTCTAACCGGGGGGTTTAAACAGATTCCCATGATTGACTTTTGCTTTGAAGCCAAATTCATTTATGTTCCTTTCCGTGTTTGGTGACACTGGTCGGAAATACGTCATGAACCACTTTTGGCGCAACACAACAAGGGGAACCGAGCAAAGAACCCCGAGCACAACCAACCACGAAACGGAAGGCACCACTGGAGGTGCGCGGGGACAACTAGTTGAGCTTTCCCTTTCGCGTTTACACCATCCCAGTTTCGATTGGGGCTGGGATTCCTTTTCGTGGGCACTGGTTGCAACGGCAGATCCGCGAGGTTCGCTAAACTTCAGCCTGAAGGCAAGCGGTTTGCCCAGTGGGAGCTGTCAAAGAGTTGTTTGGTGCTCAATAGGAAAAATCCGGGGTCAATTGGAATCCTCAAAAAGGATAATCCCAACAGTCAATATTATGTTGTTGGTGAACCCAGGGGGAATTTTCAATTGGAATATTTTCACCCAACATCATCAGGGGCTTTTGTTCAAGGGCCAACTTTCAGATTACCATTACGAGACGGGCATTTTGAGCAAAGCCTGCAGAAGGTTATAAGTTATAGCCATGGCCATGGGTGGGAAACCAAGTCGCCCCTGTTCTCCTATATCCGTGGCTCTGCACGTGCGGCGCAACTATAGGGGTCCTGATTATATATGGGTGCTAAATGGGGGGGGGGGGTCATTTTTGAGGTATACCCGTTAAACAAAAAAGAAGACAAGAACAACATTTGGGGAGTCCCCTGAAAAGAGACGCAAGCACATGTTGTTCTTTAACTTCTATCGGAAGCCGGCAGGGTCGGATAATCCAAAATTGGAGCCACGCCTGCCATATCTTCGAGCTACAATCAAAGCCAGATTCGTCCCGAAACCTTCTGCAACCAGCGCCACAACCCATGGGCAAAGAGCCGATAGCTGTTGCTAAGGTTGAGCTCACAGATTCCAGCGTTTTCCATTCCTGGCGATTCCCCAAAGAGGCTCAAGAACCATACATTCACCCAGCTTGAAAAGCGGTGCACGAGCCCAAACTTGGTTGCTCCTACCAAAAAGGGGGAGCGTATTTGTTGGACGCTTGAAGCAATGAAGCACACGCAAACAAGCTTGGATGAATGATGTATTCTACATCAACCGTTCTACAGGGGTTGGAGCCGGTCTTTTCAAGGCGCTTGCTGTCTGGACTAGACCTGCTGTCCAGTCACCGCTTTATGGATACAAGAAGCTGTTGTTTGCACCCTATGATTGCGTGCAGCACATTTAAAGGTCGGAACTCCACTCCTGCCAAGCCAAGGCCCTGCAAGGCGGCGCTCGGTAAGTTCTGATAATGATCACTCAGGATGTTTGACCGTGGGACGTTTGGTGTCAAACAAGTACCCTCCCTCCAACAAACATATCAACTGTGGGAGGGTACCTGGAAGGTGGTTTGCCTCTTGATGGTATCTTGTGTCAGTTGCTATGTTAGTGGGAAGGAGGGAGGGTAGCCAAATTCTCAATTGCGGGCCAACATTGCCGGTACAGCTAGGTCATCCCCCGGCCCCATTGATCAAGAATCACAGAGGTGAGCCAAATAAGCATGTGCAATCACCGGCAGCCTGTTGGACACTTGCCTCCAGCACGCAGGCGGAGGGCGGCTCTATATCCAGATCGGCACTCAGTATGCAGCGCTGGGGGATGGGATCAACATGTTTTTGTTTGCACCTGTGATGTGGGGGGGGGCAGTCAAATGTGGATGGACGAAATCCTGCACCAGCTAAGAACTCTGGAATAATTATTATTCTGCAAATTCCAACAAACAATGGTTTCAAAGTGGTGCAGGATTTCGTCCATCCACGGTATGGCCCCGTTTTGACCATTGCGCAACCTTGTGCCGCCTTTTGAAGTGGATATCAAGACGGCCCACTATTGTTGCGACCTCCCCCCTGTTTTTGCAGGAAAGGGATTTGTGTGTTTTCTTCAATGAAAGCCCTTTGTTTGTTGCTGGGTGTGGTACACATCCGGCTTTAAGCTTTCCGACCCCATCAGGGCAGTTTTGGCAGATCTCAAAGAGATGCCCTTGTTTTAATCATGGAAGTGAATGGGGCTGACCCAAGAGGACAGTGAGCCTACCCAGCCTACATGTCAGCTGCCGTGATTGTTGGATGATAAAATTTCATCCAGTGTGACAACGTACACTGCAGGCCTGGCGTTTTGTTTCTTTCTTGGCTGCCTGGCGCCTGGCACTGCACGGGGCTGTGGCACTTCCGGTACTGTACTGTTGGTTTGGGAAGTACATGAGGACCACCCACTCGTTCAATTTGGGGCAATGCGTGTATCATGTGTTCATTGTTTGTGTTTTACGTTCGTTGCCAGCTTGTACATGCCATCAAGCTTACCCATGTGTTGAGCAGCCGCAAAGGCATGGCTGAGATGAAAAGACAGGCCAACCTCAGCACCAGGCTTTTTTGTATCAAGTTCTTCAACCGCCCACTTATCAGGTAACCCCTATTTAGTGGTTTGGATTGGTGGCAACTGGAATTGGATTTGAACCCCTGGTTCTTGTAGCATGGGAATCCACCCCGGAACGCCAAGCTCTCGGACTCCAAACCAATGGCCCACTACCTCGCTAGGAGCCTCTTGGCATTGACAGTCGAAACGGAGCGACGGTTTTTGGAAACGGACCGACGTTTTCAATCGCTGCCCTCAGGTCTGACACAAAGTCTGGGACTCAGGGCGGCTTTGGATTCGGTTTGCCCTCGGCATGGAGTTGCGCCGGCCCCGAAGAGGGTGTGTCTCCTTGTTGTTTTTCACATTTACCGGCATCTCTGAAAGGGATGTAGCTTCTAAACGGGGTGTTCTCTTTCACAGGTTGTTTGTATGAACCCGCAAGCTGTGTCTGTGTGTTGGCATTTGTTTGGTGGTGGTTTAGAAGCAGATCATGGGCAGCCGCCGATTTGTCTAAGGATGCCATTCCAGAATCTGTGAACCTAGCAACACTATTATGAACCACATAAATATATTGTCTGAAGCTCGAGAAAACCCTAAGTAGGTCCTAGGAAGGTATGTGGCCCTCCGGGCTCTAACTTCCCACCTAGGACAGGAATGCCCTTGTTTTGTCGCCTGCTTTTCGTGACCACGGTGACCACGCAGAAGCAAAGGGAGCCATGGGGAAGAAGGGCAGCCTGTTTTGGAGGGTGCCACTGGGAAGAAGCCGCTTCTCCCCACTCCCCGAAGTCGGTTCGGACTTCACCTGAAGCCTTCTGCGAAGGTTCTCAAGAGAATCCAGAACGAACACCTGCATGGTTCCGCTCTGACATCCCCATGTTGCTTCAATTACTAACTATAAAACTCGGCACTGCACCTCTGGCTTTGAACCACCTGAATGACAGCCATCGTTTTTAGCATTTGACGCGGTTCGTGAAGTTGCTGCTTTGCTGCTTTGGCATTTTACCCAGTGCACTCCATTTCCCGATGTACGGGAAGCACCCCTTAAAAGCCAACAGGAAAGTGGCTGGTTGCCTACGATTGGGGAAACTGGGATTCACTGCGCTATGGTTGTCAAGGACCCTCCAGCAGACCCAACTTTTGAGGATACAGATCCTTGAAAGCGAGGGCTTATCATTAGCCACAGGCGTGAACCATAATCTCTGCCCAGTGTGTTCACTCACGTGTTCGTATCTTTGGCTTGGATTTGAAATCAAGCAACCAAATCAGGTGCTGACCCTATTGTTTCGCTCTTTTTTTGGTTGGAGTTTCTCTTGAAATCAGATAGCAACAAGGGTAGACGCCTTGTATTCCCATTTCCCCACCGCAAGTGATTCAAAAGCTTCCAATCGCCAGACCCCCCCCCTGTTTTCTTGCTTCTGCGACAGTGGGGAAACCCGAATCGAAGTCACCCAAGAAAAGGACGCGTCACTTTTTCCCCTCTGAAGGCATTTGTTCGGCAGCTGGCGAATCTTTGCGATGCACCCGCGCTTGAGGATAGCGAGCTGGCTGATGGTCGACCAGTTCGAGCACTGGAAGGCACGCATTCTGGCCGACCCTTTTAAACGTTTTCCCCTCCCCTCGAAGCAGTTTTTGTTAAACAAAATGAGGCAGTTTTCACCATGTAGTGCTACACTGCAAACAGGAAACCCTCTAAAAGATGATGTCCCTCGTTTTGTAGATGTCAGGTAGAGCCCTTTGGAGGCCGTTTGCTGAGGCAGCACCTCGATGTGGGACCCATGCTGTACTGCTATTGGGCAACGGATCTTTAGACTTTAGCTTGTTTGATTCCCCTCATATTTCCCGATATAACCAGCAAACAGTTGAACTTTTTGCGGGATCTATAGCACCCAAGTATGCTTGCACAAACAGCGTGCTTCCTTGTTGTTTGGACATCTAAATTCTGTTCTCTCAGACTGTCCAGCCCCCTAAATATGGTCACTAGTGGTTTGCAAACATGTTGCGTTTGTTCCGCGAAGCATGACTCGTCATTTCTGGGTGTGAAAAACGGGATCGTTTTTGTTTGAGGCCACCCCATTTTGTTTGGGGGGTGTTCAATGCATTCCCTAATGGGATCAACGCAGGGGTTGAACCCATGGCCAAAGACCCATTGAGGGATGGGGCAGCCACGTGTGAGGAACAGTCAGTTTCACGGAGCGAGCAATTTTGTGGATTTCCCATGTGCTATTGTCCAAGCGTGTACCTTGAAAACCGGGACCCCAAAATGGAGTGGAATCCGACCCTCAAAAGAAGAAAGACCCATTTCCAAGGCTTCAGTTGAGGCACAAGGAGATCCTGAACACATCCTCAAAAGATGATGCTCCCGAATGTGTTGGTCTACTGTGACTTACTACTTGGACCCTCAAAGAATTCCAACTTCAAAGTGGCTTATTGCGACCCGAAATGATGGTTCCTTGGGATCCTGAAACCTCGAATTTGAGGGCCTTGGACCCCTAAAAGACCCAAAGCTCATAGAGTTTTGGGATCCTACTGTTGATGGACGAAATCCTGCACCTAAGAAACCCTGAAACAAGTGGTTTTTGGTATTTCGCACGAAATACGTTTGGGGCTTGGTGACTCCCCCGTGGTTTGTTTTTTACTGGTACCTGGAGTCTCCATGACCCTTGGAAAATGGGGCCATGTCCACTTTTTTTCGGGGAATGCTCCATTTTTCAAGGCTCCAAAAAAGAACGGGGAAGTTTCCAAGGTCTGTGGATGGAGCCAAAATTATGCCGCACGAAACGAAACCGTGGTTGAAACCGTAACGTTTGTTGGTATATACAGCGGAATCCACTTGTTTCAGGGTCTGTTTTTTCGTTTTGTTCCTTAAAACCAAGAAAGAAACGTCTAGTCCTTCCGCGGGTTGTGTTCCCGGACGCGATGCGGAGCGGCAGGTGTGGCAGCGGACGCCCGTGGCCCCGAGCGTGCACAACCTCTGGGCCTGGAGCCATGGGACAGCAGGTGGAAACCAGCGAGCAAAAAGGAACCCAAACGGGACCCTGCGGGCACTACTGGAACATGGCCTGTCAAGCACCGCGAGAAATACAGAAGGTATAGTTGTTTGTTGGGAAGTCGAGAAAACTGGCCAGTCAGACCCAAACAAAACAAGCGAGGTTGTTTTTTTTTGGGAGGGGGAGCCTTGGTTTTGCCAAACCAATAAAATCATACAGGGCCCCACGATAATTTTGAGCCCTTGCGCTGGATTGATTTTGGGGGGTGCCCTGTTTACAGTAAGCGGAGATCATCTCATTGCTTTTGCTATTCCAGAGTCGTTAGATGGCAGTTAGGCAGAAACCCTGGGAATATCTGGGGATTTTAGGATTGTCACATGCTTGGTAGCTGAGGATCGTGTTGGGCCGCTTCATGCTCGAGGGAGGGACAACCAAACACACATTCAAGCGACACATGCAATCACCTTTGGTGCCTGCTCCTGTTTTTCACACTCGCCGCCGGCTTTCTCTTGTCTATGTGTGCCATCTTGGAGAAGTCTTGCCAACAAGCCAAAATCCCACATCCAGTGAGTGCTTTCAGCTAACACTATAGCAAAAAGCAAGGGAACCAACTAACATTGCAATTCCTGCTTACTTGGATTGCCCAACTTTTCCTCCGACAAACGCTCCCCGCAAACTGTGCAGCCTTGTCGCCTGTAGGGCGAGCCTTTAGCGATCATCCCGGTGCGGGTGAGCCTACATGGGATCGGGTATCATATGGTATCATTTTCCTCCAAGACAAGTAGAAAGATCATCCACGCCTCTCCCCTTGAAGGTAGAGGCCACTATATCGACATAACTGCAACTTGACATTTGTGTGTTTTTTCTGATTCATCAAGTTCGGTGGTATCAATGATGCTAGCAGGGGAAAAGAACATGTTGCACTGGGAAAAGGAAGGGCAGCGCACCAAATCACCCGAAGACTTCAGCCTGAGAAACTGGGGGAGCTATGGCCTGTCCCAACATGACTTAGTTTTAACACTGCCCAAGTATTTGGAGGTATTCTTTGGACTGGATCCTAGGCATTATCATTGTTAAGGATGTTCAACCATTGTTTGTAAATGGCGGTATCCTTTTTCCGCAACTAATATTGATATTTGGAGTTTGCTCTAATTTAGTGGAAGTCCCACCGGAAGCAGTGGGTTCAAACAGAACGGGGTCAGAGCGGTTTCCCTTGCGCGGATGCCAGGGGAAGCATAGACCAAAATGTTATGCGAGACCTCCACGATCACTGCAAGAACTGTCCATCTTTACTATCAGGACCTGGGCTTCGCTTCCGAGTGGTAAGTTTCGCTTGAAGTTCCCTTGGCTTGGTTTCCCTTGGGTTTGCTTGGTTTGCTTTGTTTTTTTTGGGTTCCCTGGGTTCCCTGGGTTCCCTTGGTTTCCTTTGGGTTTCCCTTTGTTCCCTGGGTTTCCCTTGGGTTCCCTGGAGTTTTTGCTTGGGTTCCTTCTGTTTCTGCTTGGGTTTTCCTGGGGCTTTCCGTGTGTCCCTGTCCAGGGGCGCCGATTCCGTGATCCATCGCCCGAGGCGGTGATCAAGGGCGGCCTGGCGCCGGGGAACCACAAGGTCGTCTTTGAAGAGAACAGCCGGAGTGCCCGGCGAGGCGTTGAACCTGTCCTTCCAGTTGGTTAAGACTGTTATGTCCTCTTCGGTTGACTTGGTTGAAAAATAGAGGGCGATTCCTGGTTTACCTGGTGGTTCAATCAACTACCAGGGCTATCTTTTCTCCCACTATGCCAGCGAGGCGTTGGGTTCCTGATTGTTTCACGTAGGTTTCTTATGCAACGGTGGGAAATAGGTTTTTCAAGTTGTCCTGGCTTGTCAGTTTCACTTCGGTTCCGTGCTTTTGCTAGTTTGCTCGGGAAAAATCGGTATGTCAATTTGTAAGTCGCCTCTGGGGTGTATGCTGGCGTCTCCCCCGAATTTCTTCGCATGCAATCCGGAATCTGAGTGGTCCCCTCGAGTTTCCTTTCACAATCTCTCCAAAAGTTACGTTGATGGCCTCGAGACACCCCCGCATTTCAACGTTGAAAGTTTGCGCAGGCCGGACTCCCCTTCCCAATCAGACTTTGGCAGAACCCTTCTGAGAGCATGTGCACCGCCTTACTTATTGGGAAGCCTCACTCAATCCATCCTCCCATCCTATCCCATCCAATCCCATCCCATCCCATGCCATGCCATGCCATGCCATGCCATGCATCCCATCCCATCCCATCCCATCCCATCCCATCCCATCCCATCTCATCCCATCCCATCCCATCCATCCCATCCATCCATCCATCCATGTTTCCTTCCTTCCTTCCTTCCTTCCCTCCCTCCCTCCCTCCCTCCCTTCCTTCCTTTTTTTTCTTCCTTCCTCCCTTCCTTCCTTTTTTTTCTTCCTTCCTTCCTTCCTTCCTTCCTTCCTTCCTTCCTTCCTTCCTTCCTTCCTTCCTTCCTTCCTTCCTTCCGTCCTTCGACACACACACACACACAGACAGACGGACGGACAGGCAGGCAGGCAGACAGAAACGGGCAGACAGAGACAGACGAAGACGAGACAGACAGAGACCAGACAGAAACCGACAGGCAGACACACACACACACACAGAGACACAGCGACACAGAGACGCAGACACAGACACACTGACACGGAAACACATACACGCCTACATACATAGTGAAAACAGACAGTATATCATACACACACACACACCTAATTTTAAGGGGTCATATACCGCTGGGAGTTATGATCTCCATGTTTTGGAGCTCGGATTCGAGGTGCTATTTGGCATGAGTGGGGCGTCGCAGAGAAGCGGCTGGTCTTCACCACGCCGGAGCCTTTGAGAGATGATCAGCTGGTGGGTATTGGTGGGTGCTCCGAAACTGCCCGTTTTTTTTTGTTATTAAGCACCCCAAAAAGAGGCTGTGGGTTAAAACCAATGGGATCCCATTTTGGGGTAGGTGAATTCACCATCTATTTTAGTGGGGATTGGTATGTTCACTGGGGGTACGATTTGGATTTTGACCCATGGCCAAGAGGCTGCCATTCAGATTTGAAGTGAGCAAGTAGTCACAGAATCAACCGCTGTGGTATCACTGAGGGCTATTGTCCACAATTATGCTACAAATTAGAGCAAACTCACTGATTTGGCGGATAGAATCCATGATCAAAGTCCCTTCTGGCGGATTCCTTACTTCCTGTTTGTGACTTATAGTAATTGGCCCAGATGGTGTTGTAAGGGTTTTCAGAGGGGATTCAGTGCAGGTTGAGTGGGAGTTGCTTCTTACCTAGCGGTTTCTCGCATTATAAGTTTTCGTTTTTGGCATGGCACCAATCTCAGTCAGGGATAATTCCCATTCTCGTGATCCATGCTCTTCGGAAACCACCCATTTTCCCATAGGCCACACAAGAATTTCATGGGGACGTGGCCTTTTCCGGGGTCACGAGGCAGCCGTGCGAAGGCTTTAACCAGTAGAATCCTTCTGGTTTGTTGAGCTGTTTCTGTGTGGTTCCCTATGAGTACGGAATAGTTGCCAAAGCAGAATTGCCCGCCCCTCGACAGAAGCTGTTGAGTTTGATGGATGAGTTTCGGCAATGATGCCGGTTTCTGTGTTTGGGAGGTTGTCTCATTTGAGGTTTGTGAGCTATCATTGCTCAAAATATGTTCCAATTTGTGAACCACATATGCCACCCTTTGAAAACATGTGAACCATCACTGTGTTGGCGCCAATTTTTCTTGATGGCACTTTAGAAAAAAGACTTGGTAAATATATAGTTGGAGCGAAGTTTGAACACCTCCAATTTGATACGTTTCCATCTGCAATGGCCACGTCGACTGGAGATGTCGAGGTGGGATCGTTTTTGTTTCTTTGAGGTTATCTATCCAAGAGCCCTTTTCGTGGTTTCGGAGGGAAAAAAAAAGCCGGACAGCTATGGACAGCGGATGGCCACTTTGGTTTCAACTCACCGAACAGGCAGACCCAAAGCCACTGAGAGGCGCCACAGCTTGGGCAACAAGGGTGCGCTCGTGGCCGCAGGAGGCGGAAGGATGTGACCTTTGACCCCAGCAAACCTCCTCAAATCTTGGTGGCTCCCAGCCATCCGGTTCCTTAGCTTCTTAGCTTTTTGGCCTTTAGGGGGGGTTTTCCATTAGGCCCACTAAAAGTCAAACTTTTAGCGGGGGGATCTGAGGACAGCCCAGAAATGATCGGGTCTTGGGATTGTAGCTGGTATTTGGAGTCGCTCGACAGAATAACCTTCAGAGAGACATTTGAATCAATCAGAGTAATAGTTTTTGGAAAATGGCGGCTTTCACTAGAGCTATAAAACCTGATCGACCTCTTGCTCAGGGCCAACCCGACAACAAAGGCCCCGTTCAGACATTTGTGTTGGTGGCGATTTGCCCTGGGTCTGCTGTGTTTATATATGTCTGACTCTGTCCGTCCTTCCTTTTTTCCTTCCTTCCTTTTTTCCTTCCTCCTTCCTTTCTTTCCTTCCTCCCTTTTGTATTTATTGGTCGTCGATGTTGTTTCTTTGTGTATATATGTGTTTCTTCATTTATCCTTGTTTGTTATGTATTTGATTATTGACGTCTTGGTTTAAATGTGTCGTTATTTATGTGTTGTGTTTCTTCGCTCTGTCCTTCCTGATTTGTTTATTGCTTCATTTATTGATTCATGCGTATATATATACATATAGATATATATTGATTTATATGTTTATGTTTATTTGTTTATTCCGCAAGCTGTTCTTTTTTTCCAGTCGTTCTTTCTTGTCGCTCTTGTATACATATGTGTGTGTTTGTTTTATTAATGTCTATTTATTTAGATGTTTATTCCATACTTGTTTGTTCTTGCTGTATTTCGTTGTTTTGTTATGTTGCCTTTCATTATTTATTGCATTGTATTTTTTCTCCAATAGCCCAGTTGGGCTCCGGGGTGTTGTGTTGTGTTGTGTTGTGTTGTGTTGTGTTGTGTTGTGTTGTGTTGTGTTGTGTTGTGTTGTGTTGTGTTGTGTTGTGTGTGTGTGTTTGTTCCCAAACAAGATGCTTCATGCCGTCAGGCCGATGGTTCTGTGATCTTGTGCCCACTTGTCGTAGTCAAAAGCCACCCCGAACCCTTGGGAACGCTGTGGAACCTTACCTCGGAGCCGGCACAACACACACACACACAACACACACAACACACACAACACACACAACACACACAACACAACACACACACACAACACACAACACACACAACACACACACACACAACACACACAACACACACAACACACACACACAACACACACAACACACACAACACACACACACACACAACACACACAACACACACAACACACACAACACACACACAACACACACACACCCCGACATCAATTACGCTGTATGTGTGTCGAGGTTTGTTATATATGCGTATATATTTAATGTATACACTTTGTGCGGAATATGCATTTTTATGTATCATACATACATATGGTATATGCACATATGCACATATGGATTGGCATTTGGAAGCCCGGTTGGGCGTTGTGTGTGTGTGTTGTGCCATTTCAGCGTCGAACCCCACAGGGACCGCTCGCTTCGCGCTAGGCTTTTGCCTGACCATGGCAATCATGGAGGCGAGCAGAGGGAAACTTTGGGGATGGTCTAGCCACACCTGAGCTACGATCGAAACTTCGGTGTTTTTTTTTTAAGTAGGGGGGGTCCCAACAAGATCAAGACTCGTTTATGTTTTTAAGTAAGGGGTTGCAACAATGGGTGCGGATATCCGCCCTTTTGTTTTAGGCATTGGATAGACCTGTTTAATACCAGGGATTCATTGTGAATCACCTGTCCCGTCAAAGTCTCCCCCAAGACACAGCCCCCTTTGGAATAACAACTAAAATCGACTGGGTCCCATGGATTGTGGCGGAGGGATCAACCCACCCCCCCAGCCACCCAGCCACCCACCCACCCACCCACCCACCCACCCACCCACCTGAGAACGGGGACCCTTGAGAATCTCTGAGCAAAGGAATCGTATGGGAAGGGTACTGCGGAGGTCTTTGCGCTGATCAGCATGCTCGCTGCTTCTCGCCTGGGTGTCGATCGCAGGCTGGGTGTTCGCAGCGCGACTGCTGTTAGTCCCAGAAGTTTGACCAAACAAGTCTCAGCTGAACTTAAAACATCTGAAATCAGGCATGTAAGGACACTTAACCGGATAACTTAAGTTAAATCATATTAAATGAAACTTGTAAGGGCCCTCGACTAGAGAAAACATCTCAATTCGTCTTAACTCAACCATGTAAGCACCCTGAATTAGATAGCATAGCTTAAATCCTCTTAAAGCAATCACGTACGGGCCCTTAGCCTTAACTAGATAATGTCAGCGTAAAACACACATGCAAGGGCCCTGAATCAGATGTGACCAAACGACATGTCTAACGCATTTCAGCAACCGAAGCTAAATCGCAGCCAACCAACAAAAACTCCTGGGAAATCTGTTCTTGTTTTTGGGCCTCAAGCCTGGGACCTGAGAAGAGCAGGATGGGACCAGTCACAACGATCAAAAGTGCTGGGAAATGTAATGTGCTCCTGCCTGGAGCACCCTTCGTTACCTAATTGTTTGCCCTTAGCCCAAGTGTATTGCAAAACCAGGGGTCGTCACCAAGATATGATAAACGTTGGGTGCCTCAGGTGCATATTGAATATGTTTGGGCCCGCCTGCAGGTTGCATAGGCCAAAAGGGGCAAAGCTGCGTGACTTGGAGGTAAAGCACCTGGACCTGCACAGCATAGGGGTACCTGGCCCATTCCAGGGACCCTTCTTTTCAGGAAATCAGCAAAAAGCACCCAGGGAAACAGATCCGGTTTTTGAAAATAATGATGATTGAACAAAATGGGGAATCAACCCATAGAAAAATGTGAAAGTTGAAAGACGGGCGTTTGCCTTTTGACTGTCCCGGCATTTCGCGTGCGAGCTTCCGCGAGACCGAGATGGCCTTGACACTCCATGGACGCCATGCCCATGAAGTAAGGGCTGAAGTGCAGCAATTTGAGGGCACACTTCCACGAAGAGTACATTTTTTGTTGTTTTTGTGGGCCAAGGGCCACAAGAGATACAAAAGAGAAGTACAGTGATTAGAAGACACTTTATGTTGCGGCCCTTCAAAGTTTAGGAGTGCCCAAACCCCATCAACTGGTCGGAAATGGTGATAGAATGTCCATATAGAGAGCGGTTCCTCAGCTCATGGCTTTCAGGTCATTACTTCGTTTTTTTTTAGCGTGAGATAGCATGGGTTCGTCCCCGTTACCAGCTGTGTTACGACCATTGTTGCAACGCACTTGCCTGTTTTTTTGGAGCACTCAAGTTCGGACTTCAGCCAAGCCCATTCCAATACGCCAGAGTTGAGCCACTGGCACTGGCGTCGGAAATCAAGAAACAACAGGCCAGGCTTGCCAGCAAGGTGACCGCAAGGCTTGTGGCAAGTTCTCGGTTTTGGCACCTGTAGCCATCGGGATTCCCGAATGCCACGTCAATCTGGGGAGCCTTATTGGGTTGGTGAACTATATACATTCAGACTTATCCCAGAGCGAGTGGTTCCCTTTTTTATGCAGTGTTTTGTTTTGTTTTCTCGTGGCATAGGCCTTAGTTTTTGACAAGTTCCCCTTTTGGGTGACAGTAAGCGGATCCAGAACCTCAGAATGTTTGGTTTCTGTGGCTGCTTCTCCAATGGTTGTCCTGAGGGTTGCCAGAAGACTGGCTGCGGTAAAGAAAAACAACAACGCGCCGAGCCACAGCCTGGGGCTTCTGGTTACTTGGGTTCGTCCGGAGTGCAGCGCAATTGCCAGGCTGTCGGTACATGTACAACCAGAGGGCCAACCTTGACAGGCGATTCGATTCGGACGATTTTGCGATTGCCCACACAAGTTTGTTTGCAGGCAACTAGCCCAGAGGCTCCTAGTTGCACTTGTAAACCCCCAGGTTTTCTCCTCCAGTTTGAAGATGGTGTTTTGGGTTCAGGGGTTCCAGTTGCCGTGTTAATGGATGTTGTTTGTAAATGATTGCTTCCCTTCATTACGTGCTACACCAGGCATTGTCAAAGTGAGTCACGGAGGCAGGTCAACTCGCGAAAACAGTGCAAACATCGTTCTGACCCAGGCTGGTCCCAAACATTTGTGGGTTAGATTGCTATCTTTGCATTGTTTGCATGATTTCGACAGGGGTGCCTGAGAAGTTTACTTGTATAACGGTACATCGGGCGAATGTACATGTTCCTCAGCATGGTGGAATGCATGTTTTGCAACCCGGCAAAAAATGCACACCTGCGTTTGCTCTGAATCACTAGGCCCGGAGTCAATACCGTGCTTCAACCTCACCAAGAGCATTCGCTGGCTAGCTTTCAGGGTTGAGCAACCGAGCTGGAAATGCGCGACAATACTGGCCTAGCGTTATATGTTGGGCACACTGACCCCCCAGATCACAAAGCAAAGATGGACGGGCAAAGCACGAGGGTGAAGCTCCGTTCCAAGAGAAGGCAGCAGGAAAGCAGGCATGTCCAGGGTCCATTGCCGCAAGTCACACCAGGCAAGCCATTCCTTTTTCGTTTTTTCTTTTCTTTTCCAGGTAGCGGGCTGTTGCTGTTGTAAAAGGGGGGCTCGTAGCCCAAAGCACATAAGGCCACCTCCCCCTTTCACGTCCCTTAAAGCCCCTTCAGGGTCCAAGGGGTCGCCGTACGGGAGTTTCTAACTGCCCAAGACCCGACCGAGGCAATGCTGAAAGTTTCCTGAGCTGTGACGGACTTTGCCTCGCCTGTCAGTTTCTCTGACGAACTTTCCCAGGTTGGCACTCGAAACGAAATCCCGATTTCCCGATTTGAGTTCGAGCGGAGAATCGAGGTCGGATCCAGTTTCGAGGTGCCGCCAAAATCTCATGGGAGGGTAGCAAGAGCATGACCGCAGTTGTTTTCTGAGTTCAACTGCTTGTATTTCGCTGATGGACCTGGACTCTTCCCCCGCCCCAACTGGGATGCCTTTGATTTGGAGGTTGATTCGGGGTTTTTATGTGTTAAGCGGAATTGTTGTTGGGCCAATTCAAAGTGAGTCTACTTTTGGTTCGGAGATGTGTTTGAGAATGCTGGCTTGCTTGTGGGGCAGGGGCAGAGTGCAACCGGAGACGGTCCACTTGCTTGTCTAAATGGCTGGGAGTGAACCTTCACGGGTGCACGATACACGAGGGGTATCCCCAAGTATCCTCCTCATGAATGTATATATATATATATAAGGTATATTGATATATGCATGGCTATGGAGTTTTATGGGGCAAGCCCTAAAAATGTCTGGTGAACAGCTATCCTCATTTAAACAAATAATTATAATGATAATAATAAAATCAGGTCAATCCCCACCAAAGGGTCTCCATGTCAGTTACCCCATTTACCTGTGACCCGTATTGAGACCGGAACGTCATGGACACAGTAAAATGCCTTTCAGTTGTTGTAAATGTAGCTATTTGAGATTATACGCATACGGAAGTGTCACTGGATATCAACATGTTTATCAGGCACAGGCTTCAATTAATGTAGGCACGCGCTACATAGACATATATTGACACTGGGTGTATGTTAACTATGCTAGGCAAGAACATGGCATATGCTGGGAACCTGTTGCAAGATGCCAGCCGCATGCCCAACACGCCGTGTTAGATATGGCGGACATGTGCCAGATGTGTTGGACGGAGTAGCCGCATACCAGATGAATTCTAGGAACTCTAATATGTCTGTGTTTGTTAATTGCTAAGCAGCACGATAGGAATTCGAGACATATCATGGAGGAATGCAAGGCATATGCTGGGAACCTGTTGCAATATGCTAACGGTATGCTAAATACCTGCTAGACTTGCAGTAGACATGCGCTAGATCTATGCTAGGATCATGACATACGTATATATATACATACATATATATATATATATATGTGTTGCATGCCATAGGCAGTATGCATTCTAGGAACTCCAATAAGTCTATATCTGGTATTGGCTAGATATCAAGAGAACACATCAGACAGTTATACATTCTATGCACATCAGACGCTTCATGAGAACCAGTTCTACATGATATCTCTAGTTATCAAAAACAACTAATACGTGTATACATCAGTTTGATTGTACATTGAAACCTGTATGTTGCAACAATCAAGCACATATTCGGATATGTCTGTAGTTTCAAATGTTGCAGCAGGGGCAAACAATAGGTGCTGCTCTTTAAGCCCTGGAATCAGTGGTTTTGGTTTTCTTGAGGCTTTTTGAGATTAAATCAACAAAAGCTCGTGAAAAGGCAAGAAAACACACACACAAATCAAGACTGCAAACCCTCTTGAGGTTTTTGAAGAAAGCCGAAAAAGACAAGACAACAAATCAAGGTGATAAAAAACAAAAACCCCAACCTCCTTGGGCCGACACCCTTGGGGTCTGCAATTTTGTGTTTGGCTTTGTGTATTCCTTTTTCCCGGTTCTCTCGAGGCCTTTGACGACATCAATAAGGACAGGAGAGAACACACGAGCACATGATATACAAACAAAACAAGATTGCAGACCCCAAACAGAGTCTGCAATAGTGTTTTTTGGTTTCTCGAGGTTTTTGTCAGTTTGGTCTGAAATCGAAAAGCAACTTGAGAGCACCAACAAAAACACACAACGCAAAGCAACTGGTGCAGACCCCAACTCCCTTCAACCTACCCACTTTTGGGTCTGCAATCATGTTTGGCTTTTTATTGTTTATTTTCTTGGCTCTTTGACGTTGGTGGTTTGTTGTTTCTCCTTGTTCGGATATCCTGACCTTCCAAACAGAATAGCTTTCATGGCGTCTTCTGTATTTAAGCATCTCAAATCTCCATCGGACCCCAGGGCCTTGCGAAGCCGTTCCCAGCCGAAGCGAGGGAACAAGCAAGCCACCGCGGATTCTGAGAGAAGGTCCGCCATGAGGGTCAGGTAAGCGCTAGGCACCCCAGGACGGAGCCACGGAAGTAGAGGGGCTGCCCTCTTTCCAGCATGGAAGAGCATGGATGGAAGCTACCATCCTCGTAAAAAGCAAAGTGTTTGAAGGGCCAGTGCTTTGATTGGTGGGTTGGAGTGGTGGTTTGGAATTGAATTTGAACCCTTGGTACTTGTGGAGGGTAAATGGGAAACCAGCCCGCCACCAAACCACCAGGCTCCAAACCACCAATTGGAGGAAAGCTAAATCTCACTTCTCGGGGGTCTTATGTTTCAGACCCTTTTGGAAACCAGAGATTCTGGAGAGCGCAGAAGTGGGAGCCTGTCTTTAACAACTCTACCCGAAAGCATAGAGGCCGAGGACTTCAGCAGTTGGCCAGCGACTTTTTTTTTGTCTCTGCAGATCATAGCGTTTGGCGGCCCTTGAGGGTGGTTTTAGAGGCAAAAAGGCGTCCTTTCGTTTGGAGAATCCAATATCAGGGGAATGCATCAAGCAGCCTTGGTTTCAGAGCGCCGATGTTTGTGTCTCGCAGAATCCTCGGGTCTTCTTCTGGCGCGAAAAAGACTACACGACGGCGCCTCTTAGCCAGGAGCAGTGAGCAAAGAATGTGTCGTTGTTTTTCTGGTGTTTCCTGTCAGTTGATGCTGCCACGTGATTAAGGAGTTTAGTTGACTTTATTTCACGTTCCGGGTCCAAGTAGCCCCAGGCTGGCTTTTGGTGGCCTTTGTAAGGGGTTAAGTACATCCCTTGGTGCCAAGTTATTTTTGTGGCGAACCCATTTTTGCATGGTTCCAAAGGACACCATAAGGAAACCAACCATTTTCAGGGTCTCCGAATTGGGAAGCAAACCAAATCGAAGGACCGCCGTGCTTCTTGAGATCGGGCTGGGTGAATGGTGCGCCCTTATTGCAGGAAGCTCAATTCGCAGGAACCCTTGCTTGACATGCACCAGAATGCACCAAGTTGTACGGCGGCTTTTGGATCCCATTCTTTGTAAAGTCCTGTTTGAAGAGAAGTACAGAACACATGATTGTGAACTTGACTCACCACCTTTTGCAGTGGAATCCCAAGTGAAACCATCACGTGTAGCGCCAAGGAAACAAAACCTGGTGTCCTACTACACGGGCAACTGGACTCACGTGTCGGTTAGCAAGGTGGATGTCCTGAATATTGCAAGTAAGCCAACCACGGCCACAACATGGGATATCGGTATATTTTGGACCCTTGCCCCCAAACACAAATAGTCACCACAATTTGGAAGACCATTTTCGTGGTGGTTGATCTAAATTTCCATCATCCACTGTTAGTGGGTGGGGGCAGGGTACAAGGTATATCACCGTAAATCTGCGGGCTTCCCTGTTCCCTTGCACTACCGAGTCGGCATGGATGTTCCATCATGGGGCTCGCCATAGCTTAGGCCCTAGGGCACTCTTGCAACCAAGCGAAGCCTTGCAAAATAACTCAGAGGAGATTTGAGATGTTCCTAGGCAACATTTGCGAAAAATCCGTATACTTATACTCTACCTAGCGTGTATCCACTAGTCCAATTCTGGTCCACATCGAGCAAATTGCATCTCAGAGGCCACTTTGCTCACTGTCCGCGAACGTCTCACCATTCGACTTTTCGGTTCGGGCTGCTTCCGCAAATGCGGACAGGTGCACAGACTCGCGAACAAAGGGCCTGGTGCTAGATTGAGCAGGGCTCCTTAAAAGATACATTTTGCCCATTTGAAACATGGCCTTTTCCACCAAAATAAAGGGAAACCACCATTTACAAGTTGCAATGTTCAGGTGTATTCACTGCATCCGGATCCCTGTTGAGTGCATCGTCTTTTTCTTCGCATGCAACTGGAGTCTCCCAGGACCGTTGCAATCCCACGATTCGATCCCAATGAGT